TGGCCTCCCAGCAGGAGTGGGTGTGGTCTCACCCCTGCAGCAGGCTGTTCCATGCAGCAAAGCAGAAGGGGGGGGAGGTTAATCCCAGGGGTGTGGCCGGTGGGCGTGCCCTGACCCCACCTCCTCTCCCCCAGAAAGTGGGTTTTTTCAACCAACAAGCAGCCGAGCAGCTGCGGCTGGAGGAGACAGCAGCCGAGTACCTGCAGCGCAGCTTCAACCTCCCCCACCAGGACGCCCGCAAGTGCCTGGGCCGCTTCGGGCTGGAAGGACACGCCCACACCCTGCAGATCGCCAAGCTTTCCGGTGGGGGGCGTGGCCTGCACCCAAAAGGGGCGGGGACAGCGCCTGAGGGGGTGGAGTGGGGGGTGTGTTTTGTTGTGGGGAAAGGGGGCTGCTATGGAGGGGGCGGGGCTTGGGTGTAGGGGCAGGTGTGTGCCATGGGGTGGGTGGAGCCTCCTGATCCCGGGGGAGGGGCTTTGTTCAGGATTCAAAGGGGTGGGGCCTGCTGGTGTGGGCGGGGCTAAGAGGTAGAACGCTGGGGAGGGGAAGGGCTGAGTGTTACTGGCAGGGCTCAGAGCCTATCAGGGAGTGGGGGGTGGAGCTACCCAGGGCTAAGCCCCACCCCTTTCCCGCAGGAGGGCAGAAGGCCCGGGTGGTGTTTGCTGAGCTGGCCTGCCGCGAGCCCGATGTCCTCATCCTGGTGAGCGGGCGGGGCGCGGGGGCGGGGCTCCTGGACCCCTCCCCTCCCCAGGGTCCCTCACCCTCCCCTCCCCCGCCAGGATGAACCCACCAACAACCTGGACATCGAATCCATCGACGCTTTGGCCGACGCCATTAACGAATACCGGGGAGGTGAGGTGGGGGGGAAAGATGGGGTGGGGGCAGGGCAGCATGACATCATCGCCACCTCGGCGTGACGTCACCGCCACCGCCTGCAGCCGTCATTGTGGTGAGCCACGACGCCCGCCTGATCACGGAGACGGGTTGTCAGCTGTGGGTGGTGGAGGAGCAGGGCCTCAGCCAGATCGACGGCGACTTCGACGACTACAAGCGGGAGGTGCTGGAGGCCCTGGGGGAGGTCGTCATCAACCGCCCCCGCGAGTGAGGGGACGCTGGGGGGCACCATCTGTGCCCCCTCCCCCCCCAGTAATAAAGAGGAATGGTGCACCAATGACTGGAAAGCGCCTTGATTTAGGGCTGCCAGCAGTAGGTTCCAGAGTCAACGCCATCAGTGGGTCCCAGAGCGAACGCATAACAACCACCACACCCAGCGCTGAGATAGCTGCTCCGGCTTTTTTTTCCACCAGTTTATTATTAATGTACAAAATATACAAAAGGAGGAGGGGCGGGCGCGGGGCCCCTCCCCCAGCCAAGTTTTCACAGAAAACAGCGTCTGGCGCAGCTCCCCAACCCCACCCCCC